AGGTTAAATTGAGTGCCATGGCGGACACTCAATGTATGTTAGTTTCTTTTCTGCCACTTTGCTGCCTGCCTCTTGAGGGGGTGAATTGATGGCCCTTTTGGAAATGTTGTTGATCCCTAGACTATAATTAAAGTATTTAGTTGGTATTAAATAATGGGGGCAGGGGAGTTGCAGGATGTCCCTCCTCCAATTCCCAAATAAAAATAATAAAAGCAAAACAAGGCAGGGTAAACATTGTCCAAAACCCACTAGCAGCCACCTCACAAGAAAGGAAAATAACCTCACGCATAAACTTCATGAAGAAACAGAAGGTTCTGGTGACTCAAGAGGCAAGCTAAGCTTCCCATCTATTTCCCGGGCCCAGAATCAATCCTTGGGGGAAGACAGTGATGGTAGAAAAACCTGTGAATTCTCTCTAATGCAATCCAGGTTAGAGAAGTGGGCTGAGACGTGAGGGAGCAGCCTGGGAGGGTCAAGGAGAATCCTCCAATCCCTGCGTACCACACCAGGATTCGACCAGGGCAGAAGGCAGGTGAGCTGCCGGGGCTGGTCCTGCCTTGGTGCAGGGCACTGAATGAGATCTCAGACAATGGAATAGAATCCAGATCCCCAATAAGGAATGCTCTGGAGGCCAGCACAGCTGTCATTCACTCCACAGAAAAGTGGGTTCAAAGCCACACTCAGAACTCTATTTGCAGTTCTGAGGGGAACACAAATTTATCACACTGGATTAGAACTTGCAGATGCGCTTGTCATCCATCAGCCAGAGCAAAAGAAATGGTGTGATCCCTGTGCATAGAGAACAGAAAATTCCCGAGAGCCTGAAAGAAATATTGATGATAGAATAATTGATACAGACATATCCTGGCTAAGTTTCTAAACCTAAAGGACAAAGATCTCTTTGAGAATCCAGACAGAAAGGCAAATCATTTTCAAAGAGGGAAACTCGGGTTGGCCTCAGACTTCTCCACAGTAAAATTAAATGCCAGAATTTTGAAACAAAGACCATGTGGAGTGCTTATAAAAATGAGAAATTGTATTTACGAAGCCCAGGGGATGCTGCTGGGATATGAAACAGCAGGGAACAGTTTATTCAAGAGAACCAGGTTTAGACTGAGGAGCTGGTTTATCTTAGAAGAGCAGAAGACAGAAGTTTAGATCTCAAAGAGGAAAGACTACGAGTAGAGGGAGCTCATAAGGTTTGACCAGGGCCTGTGTGGTTAAGGGAGGAGAATCTTTCTGAGGCATTTCTATTATGGGATTAAGCCTAGGTTAGCTGCTCGATTAACAGCAAGTGGTTCCTCAGGAGTTTCAACCTGAACTTGAAGGAAGCCCTGGAGGTCTTCTGGAAAACTGCTTTCCCAGGGATCAAGGAGGGCGAGTGAAATGGATCTGGCTCGAGTTGGAGTAAAGCCAAGGGTGGATGCCAGCCACGAAGCACGCCATGCCCTTGAGAACGAGAGTAGGGGACGTGTTGAGGGCCTCGCTGCCACTCAAAACTGGGCCACGCTGTTGAGTGACTCCCAGTTCCAGTCTGTGCACGAGACAGCTTTGCCTCCAGCGTTTCAGTGTCCTGAAACAGTCCGGTCTGTGAGCTGTTTCAGAAAAGGCGTCTTGGGATCTGCTCTTTACCTACCTAGTCCTTAGACTCCAAGTGCACAGTGGCACATGAGTGCTTAGAGAACTCTGCTGTAAAGAAAAGCACTCACCCCCCGCATTTCCAAAATGTGTTTGAACATAGAATCTCCTTTTTCTGTAATGGCTAGGAGCAACAATTTGGAAAACACTGGTACACAGTGATATCAAATAGTTTTCAATAGATAAATATCTAATAAGGTCCTTTTAAGAGAGCACATGTAAAAGGAGAATGAGGGAAAGAGAAAGGCGATGGCTTCAAGGTCTGTGAAGGAGAATCTTACCCACTCCTGGAAACAAGTTACTTGCTGGTGAAAATAGCCCGAGCACCTTCTCGTTTCAAGGTGCTGTGGATTAGTTCAAGTGATGCATATACAGGTGAGGAGGGGGCACGTCACCATCAGCCTTTTGTTAATGTCCTCTGGGATGCTGGCTTACCCCTGTTGCTGTCAAGGTGCGTTGTGATCGTTCTTGTAGCTAACATATGGACAAATCAGTCTTGGTTTCTCTCCAGCATTAAGGACAAGACTAGAAAAAGAGTTAAATCGAGTATTTTCCTGCAGATTTTTACTAACTTTAACACACAAGCTACCAGTCAGGCCAGAGGTTCTTAAGCACCCAGACTTTGCTGCTGGTGTGGCATGGCGTTGATGCAGGGCAGGAAGTCCCTCATGACTGGCCCCAGAACCAAAAGGAACCAAAGAAAAGGTTACTTCAGAGAACATTTTGGCATTTTGGATTTTCTTTTTAAAGTTTAGCCTTTTGTAACTCTAAATGGTTCTTAGCAAAAAAAGTTGTTAGTTCCACATTCAGGACAGCAACATGTTATAGTCAAGCTTACAGTTTACACGTAAGTGAGTTACATAGATCTGCAAGATAGATTCTCCGTATAAAATTCATTTTGCGCCAAAGATTCACTCAGTAGAGTGCAAGTCTATCTTGAGTGCAGGAGTTATCTAATTTGTTCAAGTAACTGCTAAACTATACAGAGAGTATTAAAATCTAATATCGAAAAATCAGGAAGCAACTAAATTCTGATTAAATAGACTTTTGTGAAAGGACAAACCTGAGAAAGTAACAAGAATTTATATTACTTCTGTGTTCCAAATGATGAGAGAACAGCAGACTGGTGTCTGTCTTCATGAAGCTTAGAGTGGTATTTACCAAAAAAAAAAAAAATAAATGTCACCCAAAGGCCAGAGAAAGTGAGAGGAATGAGGATTCTTTGGGTGTCATTTATGCTTGATTTATTATCTTGTGATGCCCTATATTTCAAGAGAGGCAGCCCAGCATGGGGTGGTGGCAGTGGGAACACAATCTTTGGAATCAGAGAGACATGAGATCAGCTGTGGCCCTGTTTAGTCACGTTATAACTTTGGGCAAGTTACCCAATCTCTCTGAGCTCTAGTTTCCTCGTAGAATTCCTATTTCACAGCTTGGGAGGAATAAACAAGGTAATATATATCTGCTATAAAACAAGTCCTCAATAAATGATAAATATTTTTATGACTAATATGTTAGACAAAGATGGTAAGAGATGGAGGGCACATCTGGGGAAGAGGTTTAAAGAATTGGATGTGAACCTGGAAAGAAAGGAGCAAGGTATAAGGCCAAGAAGTAGTATTTGAGTTTTAAAAACCTATGGGTTATTAGATGAAGCTTTAGTAATTAATTATACGAACACTAGTATAATTACTTCTAACAGCAAAAAAAAAAATAGTCTTTTTTAGAGCAAATATCTATATTCACTAGCAAAGCATTTCCTTTTAGTCAGTATCTATTAAATCTTACATTTAGTAATAGAAGCCCATTTTTTCTAAAGCATATAATCTCCTTTCTTTCCCATCTTATTACAAGCAAATGGATACATTTTCTAATTATACCAAGCAGCAAATAATTTATCCTGAAGCCCTGCTATTTGATAATTCTTGCCTAGACAGGTACGGTTTGGGGCTATGACAGTTAATTTTTATATGAGGTACAGAAGAAATAAGGAAGAGCAACAGGTGACCTTTTAGAAGGTCTCGCAAAAATAACAGTTCTGAATTATGAACAAACATTGAAACAAGGTGACGGATAAGGAGGAGACATCATGTGTAATGAGGCTGAAACTTCCTACAAGACAGATGTTCATGGGGTCATTCAAACTTGCTTTCTACATCATAGAGTTCATGGAGGACTTGATCACTGATCTGTTTATCAACAAGGAGAATACTGATCTCAGGAAGATGACATATCGCAAGATGCTTCTCCAATGCAAAAATGAAAAACAACCTTTAGGCCTAGAATTGCTTTAATTAGACCATACTTTTGTAAGAAGAAAAATATGACTAACAGTGATGCGGTCATTTGTAGGCATCCTTTCCCCTCCCCCCCACAGTAAACAACAGTTGCACATCATTTGCTTAAAATATTAATCATCTGACACATGCGTGAGCTTCTCTCATCATTATGCAGGGTTATAAATTTTACTAGGTCATTCAGTATCAAACCATCCCACATGCTAGAGTATGGCAGTGACATCTCTGGTAGAAAATTAAACTATTTACCCAGAAGGAGAATAATGTACCCCTTTGTCTGGCTTATTTCCTAGCTATATACTATATTATGAATCAGAAAAGTTCAAAAAATTTGATACTGAGAAATAGAAAACAGCTAAAATATGAAACACAAAGTATGAGTTCATAAGAGTCTTGTTCTTATTTGAAAATTGGGCTTAGGAAACATGATGAATTGTGTGGATATTTGAAATCGCTTAAGGGTTTCTCATCTCTGCACTGTTGACATTTTAGCCTGGATAACTCTTTTTAGTGGGGGACCGTCCTGTGCATTGCAGGATGTTTAACAGCAATCCTGGCCTTTGCTCACTAGCTGCCAGTAGCACCCTCCAGTTGTGCCAATCAAAAATACCTCCCAAATGTCCTCTGGGAGTCACAACTGCTTCTTTCTGAGAACTACTGACTTAGAGGTGTGCTCACTTTTCTGCTCAACTCCTTTGTGGTAGCAGGGGTAACATACCTCAATCTCATTCAACAGAAATGAAACTCAACTAAAGAAGTAAATGCCATGGTTATCATTGAGCAAAACCACTTATCAATCAAATGGATACATTCCCTTTCTGTCCCCCGCCCCACAAAAAACCCAGCCACCAAGGCATTTCTCACAGAATGCTTACACAGAACCAAGACTTCCTACTTTCTCAGATCTCCCACACAAAACAAAAAAAAAACAGCCAAAGAAATTTCATCATGTACACATGAGTACTAGTTATGGAATCATTCCTTGTTACAAATTTCCCCCAGAAGCTAAACCGCCCTCTTCTGTGGAATAAATCATACTAAGTAGCAAATGAGAAAAGAACTCACTGTTTCCAGAAGTGGTTTTTCGGAATTTCGACAGGTCAACATTTGGTGGTCTGTTGGGCTTTTGCGGAGGCGGATCCAAAGTAGACAAGGGAGGCAAAGGCTTCTGCTTTGGGGTGGCTGAATTCTTGTCTCCCTTTTCCTTCTCTTGATTTTGGCTCCATGGCCCTCCCACTGTCAGCTTAGAAGGGGCCTTAGGGAACTTGGCAGGAGGAGCCCCAGAGGCCGACTCTTCCTGATTCATTTTGCTCAGGAAGATGTTCTTAGCAGCATCTATCGTCCTGTCTTCCTTCTTTTCCTCACCATTTTTGGAGAGGCCTGCACCTCCTCTGCTTGCAGCGGGTTTCAGAACCACTCCAGGAAAAGGTGAACTGGATGTATCACCTGCATGGTCTTTATTTTCTAGGTGTCCCCTTGCTGGTTTTAAAGGGGCACCTTTGGACCTGAGTCCCAGAGGAGCTGGGGCACCTTTCTGTAGAGGCACATTCTTAGTGGGGCTCTCATCTTCATGGGAGTCCTCGGCACTCAGAGATGGCTTCTGGCCAAAGGCAGGTTTGGGGAAGAGGGGTTTGGGGTCAAGATCTTGTGAGGCTGAAATGAACTTGCCTTTAACCCCAGCCGAGTTTGGGAATGCTTGCTTTGGTTCATTTTCTGGGGCTGGAGGTGTAGGCCCGGGTTTCTGGCCTGGTGTCTTTAAGTCATGGTCTTGGTTTACACTGTGAAGTGATGGTTTATTTCCAGGAGGCCGGGGAAACACAGGTTTGGAATCTTCTTTGGGCAAGTTGATGGGCTTGGGGCCTACAGGTTTCGGAAATCCCACTTTCACCTCAGGATCTCTGGTGGCCGAGGTTGCCGGTGTTCCAAATCTTTGGCCCACTCCGGTAGGCTTTAGGAACGGGGGTTTGGGCTCCTTGTCAGGCTTTTCCTCAGGAGAAGGTTTCGCCGCCAAAGGTGGCTTTGGGGACCCAAACTTAGCAACGTTGCTGGGTCCTGCAGGAGGGCTGGCATTTCCTTGGTTGTTGAATAAGTTCTTTTTCGCTTGTACTCCTGAAGGTGAGTTTTGCCCTGTGACTTTGAAGGGTCGGCTATTGACTGAGACCTCCTCTGTCAGGTTGCCCCCTGTGTTAAATTTCGCCATGAGGGACTTCACATCTGCTTTTCCATCCTACAAGCATAGGGAACAAAAACTAACTGAGAGACAGAAGTCTTTCACAGTTTAAAATACTATACTTTAAAGAGCTTCCTGGTTTGAGGCCCGCAGCCTTGCTGATTGGTTAGCAAGATATTGTAACATTTATCTTCCTCTATGGCAAAATAAGTTGTGAGAGTTTCTCAATGGGGGAGGGCTATTGCTGTGCATATACTTTTTCTTTTGGTCATCTTAGACTGACTTGCTCATTTTTTCTTAAATAACACATCTTTTCTCTTCCTTCTGTTTCTCTAGCTGTCTTGTTAGATTTACTCTAACTTGATATATAGCACCTTTTTCGTTTTCTTTGAAAAAATATGGAAGTGACTAAAAAAAATGACTTCTTTCATATTTTTATAATTGAGACTGTTAAATAGAAACTACACTTAAAAAATGAAAGTAAGTCCTTCTATAAATGGAGGCTGCATGCTTTATACGGCATGGTCATGTTTAACATCTCTGTGGTTTGCAAGAATATTTTTCTGCTCCTATCCACATTTGAGGTCTGTTTGTTAACAGGTGATGGGGCAGAAAAACTCACTCATTTTTACAAGTAAGTAATAAAATGAGTTTTTCTACTAATTTGTATTTAGTCTGGGAACTAATAGGCAGAATGTGCGCACTTTCAGAATTGGTACTGTCTAGAAGGCACAGTCTGCAGGCACATGGGAAAGGTAAGGAAGAAGCAATAGAGACTAGTCTCATTTCCAGAACTTTCTTCTACATTTATCACTCCTTCTCAGAGGTCCTTTTACAGAGTCTCTGCCCTAGTCTAGAACTAGGGTATTACTTAGCAAAGGTAGCAGGCATTCACCTTTCTCTCTCAATATAATCCCACTTAATCTGGGAAAATTAATGGTGTGTTTGCTCTTTCTCTCAAAAGAATGGAGTTGAAATATTCTAGTTCTTTTAAAAATATTCGAAAATTTGAGGCTTAAAAATAAAAATCACTGAGATTACACATGTGGCCATGAGAATTTCCCTTTGCATGCTCGAAAGTGTTTTCCTCTTTCTCTCTGTCCCCTGGCTTTCACTGCCACACAACCAAACACATTTCATCTTTCAAGGCATAAAACCAGATCCTGTCCAGCTGGGAAGGTTTGCTCCTTCCCCCAACGCATGTGGCACTTCACCTGCTTCTGCACGCCTCTATGTTACTTCCTCTCAGAGTGATAAGAACCACCATTTAGTGGGTAAATACGTGTGCTTGATACTTTATCGTCCCATCTCATTCTTACAGCACTTGTCAGAGAATTTAACTCCATTTCACAGGAAAGGAAAGTGAAGCTGAAACTGTGGGAGGACGACATGGCAAGAGCATGGGAACAGGGTTTGAATCCTAGTTCCTTACTGGGGCCTCAGTTGTAATAGTCCATAAAATGGGGATAATAACACATATCTGCCAGAACTGTCATGTGCATTAGAAATGGAATTTGTAAAATGCCCGCCTGGCCCACAGCATGAGCTCAATACCTGGAAACTGTTATTAGAACTGTCGAGTAGCATATTCAAGGGCTCACAGCCCGGAGCTGTGAGCATAGGCAGGCAAACTCAGGTGTGTGGCTGGGAATCCACAGTCCAGAAACTGTCTCATTCCTTTTTGTATTCCCGCAACACCTAGGCCAGGGCCCGACACCCTCCAGATTCTAGTATATGCTTGAGGAATGAGAGTCAACACTGAGCTGAAGGCTGTGCATGGTGATTTTACAAGAAATGGTGCCCTCAGCACGGATTCCTCTCCACAGCAAACTGTAACACATGTGCACTTGCAGGGTGGGGATGAAGGACTAAGGCAGGAGGAGGAAACTTAACAGCAATTTCTAGCTTGAATTTTGTACCTTTAATTTACTTCCCTATATCAGAGTCACTGAAAACACCTTGTTTTCTAACTTGCCTCCCTTTACCATTTCTCAGTCCCCACGATTTCCTCCAATCTTCGAGCAATCCTCGAAGGCAACGGGCAGTGAGACAGCAGAACTAGGGAGAATTTGGGCATGGGGAGGAAATAGGAGAGGACGGATCCTTCCCTGAACCTCCAGGGAGATCATAGCTGCGAACCTGAGCACAAGAAGCTTCAAGAAGTACCAAATACAAAAATTTGCTCCCCACCTGGAAGTCTGTCTGTTTCTGGGGAAGATTTCTTTCATTCCAGACTAAATTCTATATTTTTAAATTTATATTCTAGATTTGTAACTTATTCTAGATTTCTAACAAAAGGCTGCATAGCAGAGTGGTTAAGAGCACAGACAGAGGAGCCAGATGGCCTGGGTTTGAAGTTTACTAGCGATTTAACCATGGGCAAAGGACGTGAAATTCTGTGGGCCTCAGTGTGCTCACCTTCCTAATGGGAATAATAATGACTAGTTATTGGGCTGTTAAGAAAATTAAATGAGTTCATATTTGTAAAGCATTTGAATGACTATCTGGCACATAGGAAGGTTTCCTATTTTTATAAAGCAAGTGAAACCTTAGGCATCATCTAGTTGCTTTGCTCACTGCATTGGTGAGGAAATGGAACCAAGAGATTTAAGTGGCATCTGCTCAGTTACAGCAACTTCACATCTTGGACTTCTTGGGGGAAAACTTCTCAAATACCCCCCAGCAGTGGTGGGGAACCTGCGGCCTTCTGATTCCAAGATTGTTCTTTTTTAAGCACCAAGGGGACAAAAAAAGCTTCATCTTTCTCTGCCGCATCCCTTTGAATAAAAAGATTTGTTCTGTAAAATTTGGATTCAGTCAAAAAGGCCACACTTAAGGAGCTAGAAGGCCATAGGTTCCACACCCCAAACTTCATGTCCTGGTTTTATTTTATTTATTTTATTTTATTTTTATTTTTTTGAGACAGAGTCTTACTCTGTTGCCTGGGCTAGAGTGCCGTGGCGCCAGCCTAGCTCACAGCAACCTCAAACTCCTGGGCTCAAGTGATCCTCCTGCCTCAGCCTCCCGGGTAGCTGGGACTACAGGCATGCACCACCATGCCCGGCTAATTTTTTCTATTTTTAGTTGTTTGGCTAATTTCTTTCTATTTATAGTAGAGACCGGGTCTCGCTCTTGCTCAGGCTGGTCTTGAACTCCTGAGCTCAAGCAATCCTCCCGCCTCAGCCTCCCAGAGTGCTAAGATTACAGGCGTGAGCCACGGCGCCCGGCCTTGGTTTTAGTTTAGAAAATATGGAAGTGGTAGATTTGGAATTGGAACTTAAGTCTCTTGGCTGCTGACCCAGACCCAGGAGGCAGTGCAGTGTTGAGCTAAAAGCGCAGGCTCTGGGGTCATGACTTGGGTTCAAACCTTAACTTTGCCACTTAGCCATGCGATCTAGCAAGTTACCTAACCTCTCTTAGGCTCAGTTTTTTTCATCTTTAAAATGAGAATAATAACCGTACCTATTTGCACAGGGTTTTTGTTTCTTTTAAAATAAGGATTAAATGGGTTTATGTATGTAAAGTTCTTAGATTAAGAATTGCATGTGATATATGTTAGGTCTGAAGGAGAGTAAACAGGCGGCAAGGAGTTGGCTAAGGGCAGAGACCAGGAACCAAATTGCGGCTAGGAACTGTTGTTCCCTGGTGGGAACATACACAGCAAAAATTTCCTAGTAACCTTTAACTGACTTAGAGCTCATTACCATCCAATTAACATAACATCGGGTGAGCTTCGTGGAGAATTCTGGAAAAGACTCGTGCAGAAAGGGAAACTGTTACATAACCAAACTGTTATGTGACCTGTCATGTGATCTGTTCTATGACACCAACGTGCCCATCGCCCCCAAAGGTGGGAAACAGCAGCCAATCCTGCCAGGGGAGAGGCGGGACAAACTAGCGGGCTTATAAAAGGGAGCAGGTGCTCAGACTTTCTCCGCTCTGGAGAATAACTCGCTCTGCTCTCTCTGGAACGTATTTTCAATTCAAGCTTCCTTCAGTACTTTCATTCTTTCTTTTATGTGATAAACTGTCTGTATAAAATTGCTCTGTGTTTGTGATCACTCTGTCATCGGCTGGACTCGGTACCAGTACTCATTCTTAACACCCGGAACCAGGGGACCAGGGAACATCCACACAGACAGAACAATAACAATATGTATCTAATGATTATCTGCCGTCTCTGTTTTTTCTAACTCACTAGTTACATAACGTCATTTTCTCCAGGTGACAGAATTCTAAAGTTATAATCATCACTGTGATGTCCTAATTTTAAATAAGCATGACTGGAACAAATGTACTCCTGAATAACATAATAGAGTTATAACATTGGAGATTGGTTTACTCGCACTCTGAAACCTCTCACTGGATGTTGAAAGGTAAGGAACAAAAAAGCAACAAGTTCCTATGCAGGATGCCTTGAGAAACAACAGAGCACCTGGGCTTACTAATGTGTCTATAGCCTGAACTCTACAATGATTTAATCGGTAATATTGACTTATTAGCTTTAAAGGTTGTTTGATCATTATCATTGTTCATAAGCTTACTAGATAAAATTTTCAACACCCAGATTCATCCTCCTCCCCGATTCATCCTTAATCCTAACAATACTAGCCAGATTTTTTCCTTAATGATAGTAATAGAAAAAAATGTTAAAAAATGACATTCTATCATTTTGATTTCATTGCAGATTGAAAATCTATTCTGTTTTCTAGGGCTTTTTTTTTTTTTTTTTTTGAGACAGAGTCTCACTCTTTTGCCCGGGCTAGAGTGAATGCCGTGGCGTCGGCCTAGCTCACAGCAACCTCAATCTCCTGGGCTCAAGCGATCCTCCTGCCTCAGCCTCCCGAGTAGCTGGGACTACAGGCATGCGCCGCCATGCCCGGCTAATTTTTCTATATATTTTTAGTTGTCCAATTAATTTCTTTCTATTTTTAGTAGAGACGGGGTCTCGCTCTTGCTCAGGCTGGTCTCGAACTCCTGAGCTGAAACAATCCGCCCGCCTCGGCCTCCCAGAGTGCTAGGATTACAGGCGTGAGCCACCGCGCCTGGCCTCTAGG